GGGGACCCCTGCCCTAAGGAAATGAGGGAAAAACATCAGTTGAACCAGATAAAAGGAAGTTGGGCTTGAGCCTATGGGAGACCCTCCCTCAAATCCCACCAACAGCTGCCAGACTTGTCAATCAACAAGGCAAGAGTAGCTGCCTGACTCCGTCAATTTACAAAGAAACGGGGAGAGGGAGGAGTTATTATCTTTGAAATATATTTATCGGTATTCAACTCGAGAGGACAATCTATGCATATGTCTGTTTAGGTTTTTTTTTTCTTTCTTTTTCCGAACTTTCTGAGTAGTTTTGTCAAGTTTTGCTTTTGTAATTTTTTTCTCTTGTGGGGGGGCGTTGTATTTTAATGTTTTTAATATAAAATAATGGAGTAACAAAAAGAAAAAGAAAGGAATTTGGGAGATTAAAAAGGGACCGGAAAACCGCCCACATTTCCAGTTTTTATGGATCCAAATTTAGGGGTGTCCATCGCTCTGGTTGGTATCTGCCCATCTAGTTGTGGAGGACTTGAGTTAAGGATGGATGAGTGTGTGAGCGTGTGTGAGAGAGAGCGTGTATAAATGCATATCAGGTAAAGGTAAAAGTTCCCCTCGCACATCCGTGCTACTCGTTCCCAGCTCTAGGGGGCGCTGCTCATCTCCGTTACAAAGCTGAAGAGCCAAGCGCTGTCCAAAGACGTCTCCGTGGTCGTCAGGTGGCCGGCAGGACTAAATGCCGAAGGCGCACAGAACGCTGTTCCCTTCCCGCCAAAGGGGTCCCTATTTTTCTACTTGCACTTTTTACATGCTTTCGAACCGCTAGGCTGGCAGAAGCCGGGACAAGGAACGGGAGCTCCCTCCGTGATGCGACGCTGGGGGTTCGAACCGCCAAACTGACCACCTTTCTGATCGAAAAGCTCAGCATCTTAGCCACTGAGCCACCCGTGTCCCTTATGTATGCATGTATGTGTATATAAAGGAGAGAGTAACGTTATTTGACCAAGTGAGATTGGACACCCAAGGAATTTGTCTCCAGTGCATAAGCTGTCAGAATGCATACAACAACAAAGGGATAGGTCATAAATCATAGATGCAATCATTAATCATAAGATATAACAGTTTATAAAAGGTGAGAAGGATAATAGCAATCCAGCTGAACTACATGGGTAAGTATCCTGTGCTGTGGGGCTTTGGTGTGCAGCAGAGTGATGGCACAGGGCAAAAAATATCTTCATGTCTTATTGTTTGGCATGCAATGCCAGAAAGGTGGAGAGATAGACAGACAGTTTAGATAGATGGACAGATAGATTAGAGATAGATGGATAGAGATAGATGGATGGGCAGATGGATAGAGAGATGAATAGAGATGGATGGATGGATGGATGGATGGACAGATAGAGATGGATGGA